GAAAGAAAGAAAGAAAGAAAGAAAGAAAGAAAGAAAGAAAGAAAGAAAGAAAGAAAGAAAGAAAGAAAGAGAAAGAGTGCATTGTGAAGCCAGAATTACTCTGATACCAAACTCAGGCAACACAGTACAAGAAGATTTCAGACTAACAGCTTCTGTGAACAGAGACACAAATCCTCAATGAAAAGTACTAGAGATTCAAATCTGGTGAAAATAAAGATAATGAGATCAGGATGTGGCTTTTCAAATGGCAGAGGTTCTGTTTTACAAGCAGCATTGACTCCATTTTGAGTGAAAACGCAGAAGTAGAATTTACACCTTACTGTGCTTGTAAACACCATCTGCCTGGCACCAGGCACAAGGCACACACAGATTAACAACTTGTTCCTTAAAGCAGAAAGGTCCCCACTATTAAAAAAAAAAAAAAAAAAAAAAAAAAAAGTAAATGGGGGCTATAGCCACACACGCTGATGTTACTATCAAACCAGGAAAACCAGGCAGCTCCCTCATCTGACCCCCATGAAGAGAAGGAGCCCTAAGGCTTCAGAGGACCTTATCTTACCAACCTCCCTGCAGCAAAGATTTCCCAACCATCCCAGGACCTTCAGCTTGCCTCAGTCCCTGCTGTGATGTGGCTGTTCCACTTGAAGTGATATAATCTGCCCCGTTGTCTGTCTTCTCCTGCCACCCAGCTGTCCTCTGACTTGAGTCTTCCATCCGGCGTCTACAGCCTCTGCCAATGGCTCAGCTCAAACCTTGACTCTCAGCAGCAGACCTTCAGCACTGGGTATCTTATTACCACAGAGACCTTTTTTGATCCCTTGAGCTACCTGTCTGCTTCTCAAGTGCCTATGCAGTTCCTTGAGCCCTGCTTGATACTCTTCAATCCTACGCAGTGAATCCATAAAGAGCATATATGTTTATATATTGTGTGATGTGTAGTGCATAATCTGAAAGTTAACATTCATAGGTAAGATTAGAATAAAAGATTTCGTGTTTCTGTATCTACCTTGTCGGGAAATAGAGACTACTTGTCAAATTGATGCTGACAAAGAAAGTCAACATACCTTCTGAATTTATTGTTAGTTAATAAATTCTGACATTGTGAAAAGTACCGGGTATTTTAGTTGAGTCTTTGGAAAACATACAAACTCAGTTTTAAAGAAAGGTGGTGGTCTTTTAGTGTGGGACCTGAAAGAATGAAATGGCTAGAAGGAAACCTAAGCAGTACGCTCCAAGACACACGTTCAGGAAAGGACTTCCTGAACTTCGGACTCCGTTTGCTCCAAAATTAAGACCAACAGTTGGCAAATGAAACCTTATAAAGCTAAAAGTCTTCTAAATAGCGAAAGAAACAGAAACATTCAAGTGAGAGAGGTGGGGCCCACAGAGTAGGAGAGAATCCCTGACAGCTATACATCTGACAGAGGATTAATTTCCCAAATCTATAAAGAACTCAAAAACCAGAGTCAAGAAAACAGACGGCCCAGTTTAAAACTTGGCCTCTGGATCTGAACAGAGAGTTCTCTAAAGAAGAAATTTTTAAAAAATGGCTGAGAAATATATTATAAAATGTTCACCATCCTTAGCAATCAGAGAAGTGAAAATTAAACTACTCTGAGAGTCCACCATACCCCAGTCAGGGTGGTGAAGATCAAGAAAAGAGCTGGCAAAACTATTGCTGAGTATGCAGGGGAAAGGGAACCCTCATTCACTGCTGTTCAGAACGCAGACTGGTGCAGCCAATGTGGAAATCAGCATGGAAAAGTCTCAAAAATCTGAAAGTCATTCTGCCATGTGGCCCGGCTATAACGCTCCTTGTCACAATCCCAAAGAACTGGACATCCTCCTTCACTGTGCTGGCCCATCCATGTTTATAGCTGCCCTATTCATACCACCTAGGAAATGGAAACAACCTAAATGTCCTTCAGCTAATGAACAGATGATGAAAAAGTAGTTCGTACACACGATGCAATACTACTCGGCTCTGAAAAAAAAATAATGAAATATGTAGCTGAATGGATGGAACTAGAAAATATTCCACTGAGTGAGGCAACCCAGACATAATTCATTCATTCATTATGAGGGGTAACCTGAAGTATGCTAAGAAGCCAGGAAAACAGAAGGAGACCATGGACAGAGGGGAGGAGAATCCCTAGAAAGGGCGTTAGCAGGAGACCCGTGCTACAAACGGGGTGATGGAGAACATGGGGGAGACCTATACCGGAGGGTAAGGAGGAAGGGTGATATGGAGGGAAAGAGAAGAAGGAGAAAGACATAATGGTAAGAAAGTTTGAAAAGTCCACAGAGCAACATACTATTTTATAATCTTATTTTTGAAATATGTGTGCACATGTGTGTCTGTGTGCGTGCACACATGTAACAGCACACGAGGTGATGATGATTTTCACAAGAGGCCACACACTACCGTGCCATAACCCTCGCGGTAAGCATGGGAAACCTTTCGAGTTGTTGGTCAGCGGTTACAAGAGTTTTCCAAAACAATTTGAACTATTGGCAGTGCCCTTGGTTGCCTTCCAGAGCTAGAAGGCAAGATGCTATTTCTGAATACATCACACGCTTTGGACACAGAAGTGAAGAAGTGTGTTGGAACTGACCTGCAAGCCTGAGGACCTGCTCTCATGGTATCAGAAGGTGACAGGTAAGCTACCTGACTATAAAGCCTGTGAACCACAGTGACTGGACTGGCAAGGCAGCTCCAATGTTGCAACAGTGGCGCTTTTATCTCGGGGGTAACCAACAGTTGTGTAATTCAAGTTAAGGCCACTCAGTGGAGGGAATTTATGCCTGGCACGGGTGCCTAACCAACTACTGGCAGCCAGAGAGGTCACATGACCCCCTAGGGGAAAACCTACTACTCCCTTTTTTTTCTAAATTAATATTTCCTAAGTGTATTATAAAAACTTAACCTTATACTCACAGATAAGTGTAGCTTTCAACTCATCATCAAAGAAGCTTCTGTTTTCAGCAGAAAGAGGTTACCACAAAGATATAATATGGTCCCAAAGAAAACCTGCATAGTGACAGGTCCAATTAACATGCCAATATAGACAGGCAAACTCCACAAGCTCCCACCTCCAATGAAGAGCTCGGTGGCTGCTAGAGAGGAGAATCCTGTTTTCTCCAGGGTGAGCTCCCTGATAGGTTATCCAGTTTCTAGTAGCCGGCCCTGAGCACACATACACACTAACAATGCCAGGTGGACTCGGCAGTTTACACATATGTAAAGTAGAAAAGAGGGGGATATCGGAGGTGGGAGAGAAGGGTGAAAATGATGTCAATCCTCGTGTATAAATTCTCTAGAAATAAAAAGTTGAGTTAAAGAAGATTAGAGGAGCTGGGGAGATGGCTGAGCAGTTCAGAGTGGGTTCTTCTCTTGCTGAGGACCCGAGTTCTGGAAGCTCGCTAACCCTTGTCCCTCCAGCTGAAGGACAATGAACCCCTCTGAGCTCCCCAAGCAGCTGCATATGCACTGCCAGTCACAAATGCTTTCATAACACACATGCATAAAAATTTAAAAGTCATAAAAAAGTACAAGAATAGTATTTTATCACTTAAGAATAAACCACACGAAATACCAAATATCTTAAACACATTATTTATTCGGTTTAAATTTTTCATTCCTTCATTCATTATTATGAGGGGTTGTGCTCGACAATGAGAGAACAACTTTGTGGAGTCCGCCTCCTCCTTCCACCCTTACGTGTGTTCTAGGGCTAGCAATCAAGCTGTCAGAATTGCCTGTCAAATGTGTTCATCTTCTGAAACACCTCACTGACCTCCTTTATAAAGTTCTTTCAGCTGGCGAGAGAGCTCAGGGAATGAAGGTGCTTGCCAGCACACCTGACAGTCTGTGTTCTATTCCCAGGGTCTTCGCGGCGGAAGGGGAAAGCAGGCTGCTGCAGGTTCTTCTGCAAGTGTGCACGCACGCGGGCTCACATTCACACACACGCACTCGCACACACTCACACAGACTAAGCAAACACAATGAGTCTGTGTCTCCCTGTGATAGATACTGCTCATGTGGTTTTCAATTAACATTTTATAACACACCAAGAAATTGTGTTATAAAGAGATGGTGATGTTTCCAAAAGGGATGCATCTTAGATAAAGCCAAAGTGTTGGTTAATTTTGAAAAGTTATTAGTGTTGTCTGAAAACTCAAATAGTAATCAGTAGACTTGAATTTTGAAATTAAGTCTTCATTCACTATGCAATTCACTAGGAATGCCCCCAAATACAAATACATTTTAACAAAATTTTTCCTACTGTGCTAGCCAGTACAGTAGCTAGCCAACAAGTGAATATTTTATCTAATAAGAAAACATAAGCTTAGTGGTAAGAGAGAGAGAGAGATCTAAACACTTCATT